AATATTCTCTCTAATAAAGAAGTATTAACTTTATATGATTCAAATAATAGTTTATTAACATCTAAAACAATATTTAATTACATCCAAAGAGAACGAGATGTTTATTTTGTTGCAGAAGATGATGAGGATAATTGTTTTGGTTGTTATATATCAAAAGCACCATCATATATGGGAATTGGAATAACAGATCAACACCATTACATCTTTTCTTGTTCATTAGAAAGTGATGAAATAAATACATTTGATTATCGGATACTCACTACATCTGTTTACATCCCATTAGATTCAACTATCATTTTTAATTGTCCCTCTGCTTTTTCTGTTGATAACCAATTAAATTGTTCATTCTCTAAAGATATTAATGTCATTTATATGAAGGAACCTAATTCGTATTGTGATGTTTCTAAGTATTTTCCATGTGTAGAAAATCAAAATTCAATTACATTGAAAAGAATACGTTTCTTTACATCAAATACTATTATTAGTGATAATTTGTAGAATATAATTGATTATTAATAACCAATGAGTTAAATCTAGTTTTATTGTTATTAAATAAACATATAATTGAGATAATAAAATAATTTTAGTTGTTAATAAGGAGTTAAACAAATAAGTTTTATAGAATGATGAATATCTTGTTAATTATTGATGATTTATAATAAGAATAATCAATGAAATTACAAAATTAAATTATCTATGAATGTAAATATGTTATTGAATACTACATTACTAGAATTTTGTATTATTGAAAAATATAATTAATTATATTCTAATCAATGATTGTTAATGAAATAATATGATTTCTTCTCTTAAAAAATATGAAAACAATATCATTTCTATTTCTTCAAAAATATTTGTGTTATTATAATATAAGTATGTTTATTCTCATTGTTATGTTATTTATTTTCATTTTATTTGATTTATCTTTTATCTTTAGTTTGATTTAAAATCACATTTATTCTTTTCTTTGTTATTTTCTTATTCTTCTTATTTTCAAAATACTCATTTAATATTCTCTTCGTTTATTTATATTCTTGTTATTCATTATTTCTCTCTTTGTTATAAACATATCCTTATTATTTATATGTTTCTGATGTTTATTATCATCATTAATTGACTCACATCTTATCTTTCTGTTGTTTTAATATTTTAGTTATAGAATTTATCATTCTCTGTATTACTATTTTCTTATGAATAACATGTTATACTCATTTATTCATATTTATTTATCATATTCATATTAAAAACATTCAATTTCATTATATAATATTCATCATTTGTTTTTTAATAAATTAATCCACAAATACTTTCTTAGTTGATTTTAACATCTCGTTCAACATAATGAGATGGAAATATTCCTATTTTCCCTTTACTTTCTCCTTCCCACCATTCTCCTTCTGTAGAAATTACTGTGATCCATTCTCCTTCTTCTAATTTCAATTCACTTTCATTTTGTGGATTATAACTATAAACAACCCTTCCATGAAATACATTTGTTGGTTTTCTGGTGATGTTGTTTTGAATGGAATGTGTTTTGATTGAATTGGTGATGACATCACTCACTTCTAAAATACTCTTTTCTTCATCTTTCCAAAGACCTTGACTTACTCTCTCCCAAATTCTACTATTCATCAGAAGACATCCCCATCCTTCTCTAATAAATCCTTTACCAATACTCTCTGCTATCTCTGGAAATGTTTTAAGAAGCATGTTTCTATCATTCTTTAATTCGTTTCTCATTTCTAAATATTCTTCTTTACTTTCTTGATATTTTTTGGTGATGGAAATTAAATAAGAACATGCTAACTTCTTTCTCTTTTTCTTCTAACTCACAATCTCGTCTACTTAACATTCTGAATTGATTAAGAAATGAATGGAGAGGGATTTCTATATTATCTTTGATGAATGAATTGAAGTGATTTTGTTGAGTTAGAATATCCTGTGATGCATTCAAAATAGAGTTAGTCAGTTGTGTTGCTTTGAGATTGTTTAAAGTCATTTCACATAATGAATAAGAAATCTCAACTTGAAGTAAAGCAGCTTCATGAAGTATGTTTTTGAGTTTGATAATATTTTGTAGTGTTGAGAATAGCTTCTTTTCTGATTCGATGGACTTTTCTCTAATCATCTGATATTCTTGATCAACTGTTTTTATTCTTTCAATTGTAAATAACTTAAAAATCTCATTTCCCATTCTGTTCTTTCTCTTCTAATTCCAATCATCATTTCTTTTAATTCAGTGTCTTTTCATTTTGAAGAACTAATCATCACAACAATTAATAAGTTATTATAAACAACACATCTTGACATAAGAGAAGAAATGAAATGTTCATAAAATGAATCATCAAAAGGATCTAATAATCAAAAATGTGAATAATTCATAAATAATAAATTAATAGAAAGAATAATATAAAAAATAATAAAAATATTAAGTTCAATTTTTAGAAAAAAGAGAAAAAGGAATTTCACGAATTTACAGAAAAAGAACAAGTTCACATCATTCTTGTTTAATTTCTATTTCATCATTTCTGTTTATCATTCTCATCTCATTATGTTATTTATGTCTTGTTTGATTTTATTTAGAAGAGTCATTGGAATTAATTTAATCATAATGACGATGTGATTTGTTGTGTTGTATGTGTTGTAATAAGAATCTATGAAACAAATAGAATAAACAGTATAAAGGGTATAAATAATTTGCCTCACTGTTTTATTCCAATATAATCCACACCTCTTTATTCAAATATTAATAACAAAACTACAGAATAAAAAACAAAAGAAATTATTGTTACTTTCTTATTCTTTATTCAAAAACTTTGACTTAACACATTATGATATGTTTATTGGTTAATTTAATTTGAGACGATAATTTTTATGTTATTCTTTATCAAGTTTTGTAAATAATAGCCCTATTATATTTTCATTGTTTCTAGCTTCATACAGAGAATATCCTTTTTTACTCTATTCACATGACTTACAAAAACTCTATTTCTTTGGTCACTCTTTTCTTCATAAATTAAAACATTCAAAGAGTTTTGTGATGCAAGATGGTATTATTCTTAAAAACTTCAGTTTGTGCTAAAAAAGTCTCTATTATACATTTCTTTAATATCTACACTCAACCCAAATCTAAAATCGTGTTTATATTTGAGTTATTGAAGAAAACAATGATGGTACAGATTGTTCTTCTAAAAATTCAAGGTTATAACTTGTTCGATAACTCAATAACCTTTTTAAAAATCATCAGAACTAGGAAAAATAAGGGTGATATGACAGATAATACCTTTGCGTGTTACTATATCAGGTCTATTTTAAAAAATAAAAGAAGTGATGATAAGATATTAACCAACACTAAACAATTATGTAGGATTTAAACAAAGAGGTACTATAATAAACATTTTTTTTGTTATAACTAATCTACATATTGAACCTTTCTTTAACAAGAATTGGGACTTCAATGCTTTGAATAGTTCTTTCAATTTTCTTATCTTTTTTCTCAGTCTTTTCTTCTTTCTGTTTATGCTGGAGTTGTGTTGATGAAATAAACTTATTTAACCAATTAAGATGACTCTGATCATCTTTTCCAATGCACAACCTTCCAATTGCTGTTCCAGAGAATTCTTTTCTTTCTTGATCAGTAAACCTGCCTAAATTACCATTTCTATTTCCAATTTCTTCAAGATAAAGTTCGTACCGTTTTTGTTTTTTTCCATCTTCAAACTCTCTTTTAATTGAAATATCTTTTAATCTCTTTTTAATTTCTTCTTCATTTCTTTTAGTTTCATTTGGTCCTTTACCAACTTCTTCATTAATTAAGAGTTGATTACTTTCAGTTTCTATTACTTTGTCTTGTTCCTCTTCCCTTCCGAATGTTACTTCATAATCTTTGCCTTTTCGTTTAACGATAATACTTTCTTTTCCATCCCATTGGATGTCTTTAAGAAATCTTTGTGCCTCAATAAAACTCATTCCTGATTTCATCAACATTTCAATCTCTTTTTCTTTTTGTTTAAAATCAATCCCATCTTCGTCATCAACAATATCCTCAATTCCTAATTCAATCTTTTTTCCTTTTCCACCTTGAAAGTATGTAAATCCAGTTGGTTCAAATTGTTCAGTTTCAATCTTTTCTATTTCCCTGATACTCCCTCCCTCAAAAGCACCATGAAATAATTTTTTCCCATTTGAGTCATAAGCGTATTGTAGCCTTGTTTCTTTTAATGCGTTCTTATTGATTTTATATTGACTATCTTTAAGTTTTCTCTTCATCTATCAAGTTATCTTTTATTATTAGTTTATTTTATTATTCTTTTTGTTTAAAATAAAAAATAAATAACAAAAAATTTTTGTTTTATAATTTTAGTAGCATTAATTTAAAAATTGTTTTCTTTAACTACATTTAATAATAACAAAAAAACCTATATTATTTCAAAGGAAATTTTATTTTGTTTTAACTTTTAACAAACTATAATAACAAAAAAAGAGTGAATTAAAAAACAAAAAAAGTAAAATACAAATAACATTACAAATTATAAATATTAAAATTGAGTATTTTTCCAAGATTCCACTTTCATAACTATTTCATCAATAGAAATTAAACGTTCAGTATTAATTTTCCAACAAGATAATAGTAGTTCTTTACAAGGAAAAGGAATTGAGTTTATTAAAGGAGGGCGTTGGCCAAGAACAATATTTAGAATGAGGTCATCTTTAAGATCAATGTCATCAAAAGGAATTTGATTTGTAATTAGTTCCCATAAAATAATTCCGAAACTATAAATATCTGATTTAGTTGTTGGTTTATTACCAGTTAATACTTCAGGTGCTTTCCAAGGAATTGAATCATTTAATGATAAATTAAATCCAAGAGAAATATCACTTAATTTAATTGAATAGTTTTGTTCAACCAAAACATTATTTGAATTTAAATTACCATGAACAATAGGAGGATTAAGGTCATGAAGATAAGCCAATCCTTTAGAAATTTCATTAATAATTCTAAATTTTGTTGCTATTGGAATAATTTTTAGATTAGAATGTAAAACATTAAATAAAGAATATTTTGGCATAAATTCCATTAAAAGATATAAATGAGGATATTCAATTGAATAACCAAAATATTGAATAATACAAGGATGTCTAATTTCTTTTATTGTTTTAATATTTTCTTTAATTTGTTCAAACTCATTTGAGTTATCAATCTTTTGATCTTTTAAAACAAATTTAACACCTTTCCAACTAACCATCCAAATAATACTTTTAGATTTAGTAGAGATTTTGTTATTTAAATATAATTCATTAATATTAATCCACCCTTTAATAATTTCTTTCTTTCTTTTATTATAAATTCTATAAATTACAATAAACATTCCAATTGTAATAAGGATAATAATTAAAGTTGTTAAAACAATAAGAATAATTATTCCATATGATATTTTTTGATTTATTCGAAGTATTACACTATTTGATTTATTTTGTCCATTTAATAAAATAATTATTTCGATTGGTGTAGTTATTCCTTCTGTATTATAAAAACATAATACACATTCTTCATTTAAATAAATTCCTCCAACTCTTGTTTCATTAATCCCTTCACTTGATATTAAACATTCTATATTATTTGATTTAATTATTCCTTTTCCACATACTTCAATTTGTTGATTAGATCCTTTGTTGTCTTTATAAATTCTTGCACTTTCAAATAAAACATCATAATAATCAAATGTAACATTTGTTAATGCTGTTAATGGAAAATTTTCACTAAATACTTGAATTTCAATTTGACTTTGATTTTTATTTTTTGGAGTAATACAACTTATTTGTTGCTCATTTATTTTTTCACTTTCTATTTTAATTCCATTCATTAAACAATAATATTGTTCTTTATTATTAAAATTACTTCCTATAAATGTAATATATGTCCCTCCTTCTATTGGTCCTAATACTGGATAATAATCAATTATATTTAATGCCTCTATTGTAAAAAATTGTATTACTTCTATCTTTGAAATACAAACGATATTTCCTAATCCTCTAAATTGTATCTTTGTTCCTATTTGTCCGTATGGTGGTGAATATGTAATTTCTTTATTTTTAATACAGTCACTACATTCATCATTTACAACTTCATCTTCTAATTCATATCTTTCTGGTTCATTCTCTCCAACTATAACTTCAATATATGATGGTAATCCATATGAATCAAGTGAATAACTAAGTTGTAAATCTATACTGTAAATTGCCATTGTAACACTACTAGGTCTATTCTCTAATAGTTTCATATTAATTGTAGTTGTTTCATTATTACAGGTAGTTGGTCTATACTCAATAGTATTAACTTGGTCAAGAGAATAATTTGGACATTCATGACATTTGAAAGTGTTATTCTATTAATTATTAATTCTCTTTCTATAATTTCAAGTGTCTTCTTTAAACAAACAGAAACAAAAACTGTTAAATTAGAGAAGATGATAAATCGCCCCATAACACACCATATCATCAAAACAATCTCAATCATCTATTCACTTGTTACTTTTTTCAAAGATTTTTTCTTAATTTTTTCATTTTTATTCTTTTAAACCGCCGAAGATAATTAAATTAAAAGAAAGTAAAAAATCTTAAAATAATTCTTATTACTCTAATATTTTGCAAGAAAAAAATATTTCTTAAACCAATAATAAATGAACAAGATAATTTCTTATTTGTCCTTCTTTTCATTTCCAAGTTCAAAATGTTTGCATCTCTTCAAACATTTTTGGAGCTTATACTTGCATTTAGTACATTCGATCTTTAAGACAACCTTTTTGGTTGTTTTAGCCTTCTTCTTAAAGACTGGTTTAGTTTGACCTCCAAAACCTTGTTGTTTACGATCATATCTTCTTTTACCTTGGACATGGAGTGAATCTTTTCCCTTTTTATATTGAGAAACTTTATGAGGTGTATGTTTGTCACATCTTGGGCAATAGGTCTTTCTGGTCTTTGGGACTACAACCATTGTCTGAATTTTAGGGTTATTTTTTCTTTTTAGTTCCTCTCAGGTTTCTTATATTATTTTTATTATATGTTTATTATAATTGTGCTATTAATTATAATATAGTCAAATACCATTATAAAATGGAAATATTAAAATTTGTGTGATTGGTGTGGAATGAAATAAGATTAATTAGAGAAAAATGAAAGATTTTTATTTCATTAAATATTGGATAACATCTGATGAAATTGGGAGATCTGAAGATAAAGAAGAGGTGTTTGTTCTTATACAATAACCAAAAAGTGATCTTCTAAAAAGAACTTCAGGATCTGTTTCAGTTTCAAAGAAATTTGATTCTTGAAGAGAAGGAGGGGAGTTCTTAATATATTTTACATAACATTCATTCCGAATATATAACGCTTCTTTTCTATTCCATTAATATGTGTTATATTGACTTTTAGATTTAATAAAATTATAAGATAATTTGAAATGAAAGAACAAACTTAATAGGTTTTTTAGCATTTATAGGAATTTCTTTCCATAAAGTCCAGTTAAATAATTTTTCTAAATCACTATTTTGACTTGTTGGTGGCATAGAATTAACAATACTACAATAAGCCATTGGAGAAATTTTTAAACAACCACTTAAAACACATTGTGTAAAAACTCTAAAAGGTAAAACATGATATGCATCAATAACTAAAGCGTCAACAGTTTCTCTTTGTCTTGCTTGTAAACCGAATTGATGAAGACAATCTTCGATACAAGCATAAAAATGAATTTTTTCTAATATAAGATTATAAGTATGTTTTTCTTCTTCAATACCAATTTGATTTTTATATTTTTCTTTTAAATAATTATCAAAATTAGTGTAACAATGAGAGATACAATGATTTAATAATTCATCATATTTTCTGACAAACTCCTCTTGTCCTTTTAAGTTTTGACCTTCAACAGAAAAAGAGTTTAAGAAAATTAAATTTAAACATTTCTTAAATTCTTTTTCCCAAATATTTCTTTCCATTGGTGTTCTAATTCTTTCTTTTTTTTCAGTAGGTAAACGACCAAATAAAGGTAATCTTATTTCACAAATTTCTGGTTGTTCTTTAATACTTTTAACATCATATGAAATAGGAAAGAAAAATAGTGCTTGAAAATAATGTTCCATTTGTTGAGGTGGAAGACCTTTTAATTTAGAACAACGTATTTCAGCAGGAATACCATAAGTAAAGAAATCAATCAAATAATCTGCAGTAATATTTTCAAATTTAATTGGTAGAAATGGAACAATAGTAAAAGGGACATCTTTAGTTTGACTTAGTGTTACATTATGTTG